CGGGGGCGGGGGAGGGGAAGGGGTGCGGGGAGGGTGCGGGCGGCGCGCGCCTGCAGGGCCGGGGCCTGCGCTCTGGCGGTGTCCGGCCTGCAGCGCTTCTCTCGGCTCCCACCAAGCCAAGGCGCGGACTTTGCAAAGCTTACCAGCCCGCTCTAGAATCTACTCCAGTTTTAGCTTTTCTCCCGTTTCTGTATATTTTGTGTCACCCCCTACTTCCTGGGCAGGATTCGCCTGTAGATGAGTATCAAAGATTCTGGGCAAGAGTTAGAGATTCCAGGTGACATCGGGTCGCCTCTGACAGGCAGGGTGGCAAAGTCTGTGGTGTGTGAATGGCCAACAACGGCGCGAGGGAGGAGGAGAGTAGAAACCCCAGCACTGTCCCACAGTGAGGGCACAGGCGAAGAACAGGCGAATCTTACAGGGCCACCTCAGGACAGGAAAGAATTGTGTAAAAGTCACTAAGCCATGTCAGTGACTGCATAATTGCCAGAAAAGTTCAACGTTTTCTGATGAAATAACTAAGTATTTATTCCTTCCATTCTGCACAGAGGGAGGTTGCATCTCATTTAACAATAGGATGCAAAAATAAGCTCTAAAAACAAACAAAAAACTCCAAAAGCACTGATGAGGTCAAGCAGCTCTTCCACAGGACAATGGTCCTTGCTGCAGTGCAGGGAGAGGGTGGTGGCTGTGCAGGATTCCTGGCTTCTGGACATCTAGACACCCCTTCTGGGAGGTGACCATGCCAGGTTTCTCTCAAAGAGGGACAAATCCCTTAGTGCTAGGAAGCTTCGGGGGTGGAAAATTTAAGCAAATAGAAAAGCATCTCCAAAAAGATGTGCCCTACTGCCTCACTGTCCTGAATTTGTGAACCAAATCTTCTCAGACAGCTTTAGATATTATTGGAAGCATTAACCTTAAGAAAACCTATAAAACAGTTAGCTTCGGGGGTGGAAAATTTAAGCAAATAGAAAAGCATCTCCAAAAAGATGTGCCCTACTGGCTCACTGTCCTGAATTTGTGAACCAAATCTTCTCAGACAGCTTTAGATATTATTGGAAGCATTAACCTTAAGAAAACCTATAAAACAGTTCATGTTTCCAGGGAGCATCTTCAACTCATGGGCAGGTTTAAAATTCCACGTTTCTGATGTTTAAATTTTAGAAATCAATCATTTTTTCTTGTTTTAAAGAAATTTCTTTGTTATTGGTTCAACTTTGTCTCCCAGAAAAGGTATGTTGGGGTCCTAACCCCCAGTAACCTCAGAATATGACCTTTAGAAGAGGTAATCAAGATAAAATGAGGTCCCTAGGGTGGGCCCTAATCCAATATGACTGGTGTCCTTAGAAAAAGGGAAAATTTGGACACAGATGGGCAGATGGAAATTTGAACACAGGGAGAACACCATGTGAAGATGAAGGTTGAGATGGCATGATGTGTCTGCAAGCGAAGGCATACCAAAGATTGCCAGCAAGCCTCCAGCAGCTGGGGCAGAGTCCTAGCGCCGAGCCTCCTCACAGCCTCAGAAGCATCTGACCCTGCTGACGTTTTGATCTTGGACTTCCAGCCTCCATAGCTGTGAGAGAATATGTTATTTAAACCGGTTTGTGGTGGTACTTTGTTCCTGCATCCCGGGCAAACTAACGGAAACTTTATTCTTTAAAAAAAAAAAATGATTATAATGGTAATATATGCTCACTGTAAAATATTTCACAGATGAAAAAAAGTATGTGTCTGTCTGGGCTGCAATAACAAAATACCAGAGACTGGGTAACTTAGAAACTTGTTTCTCAAAGTGCCGGATGCTGGGAACTCCAAGATCAAGGTGCCAGCAAATTTGATAACGTGGTGTGGGCCTGCTTCCTGCTGCACAGATGGTGCCCTCCAGCTGTGTCCTCAGTAGTGGAAGGAGCTCTCTGGGACTCCTTTTATAAGGGCACTGATTTCATTCATGAGGCCCTGCCCCATGACCTGATCACCTCACAAAGACTCCACCTCCCAGCACCATCACCTTGGGGGTGAGGATTTCAACATATGAATTTGGGGAACACAGAAATTCAGACCATAGCAAAAAGTACAAGGGAGAAAAATGATGTCTTCAGTGCTCCTGTCACCGAGAGTTACTCCGTCTTCATCCATTTGCCCACTCAGCAAATCCTCCCTGCTACACACAGCGGGTGCGGTGCTAGAGCCTGGGAGTCAGGCGACAGGAGAAGTCAGTCAACAAACAGGCGGCGAAGTGCCCGGCGGTGGTGAGTGAGGGCAGCACGGGCAGCGGCAGCGAGAAGAGCAGGCGACTGCACGCGGGCCATGCGGCGTGCGCGTGGGAGGCCAGGCGAGGCTTCTCGAAAAGAAAACGTTTGGCTGAAGAAACTGGAAGGAGAGCGGAGGCTGAGTCCTGGGCATATTTGAGAGAAAAGCGTCGAACGCGCAGCCCTGCCTGGCGTGTTCCAGGAGCCGCGGGAAGCTCCTGTCCTCGGAAAGGACACCCGGGGGGACGGGAGGCCCGAAAGGGAGGCGGGAGTTCACCTTTACCCTGTGTGTGATGGGAGGGCACCGGAGGCGAGAGGGCACGAGGGGGCAAAGGGACACACCGGGAGGCCCGCCGGGAGGCCAGGGCAAAAATCCAGGGAGAGACAGAGAGAGCGAGCGAGGGAGACAGGACCACCCTTAACATGCGGTAAACAAACAGGTTCCAGAAGTGGGCATTTTTAGATGCCTTTTTTCCTTTAAACAAAAATGGGTTTCTACTCTATGTAGGATTACATTCTGCGGTTGGTTTGTTTTTGGTTTTTGTGTTGGTGAGCCCATGCTTGCTTCTGATATCTCCTTCCCTTCTTTCTTCTTATTCTTGCTTATTCAGGTAGAACTTACACTACAGAGTAACACACATAAATCTTGGGTGCACAGCTCGATGCATCTCACATACCCCCGTTATCAGCACCCAGAGTAAGGCGTTCACCGTTTCCAGCACCTCAGGAGGCTCCCCCAGGCTCCCACCCAGCATTTGCATGTTGTTTTGGTTTTTTATACTTAGGAATGGATCCACACTTATGTGTCCCTGCTATTCACTATAGCCCTACAAAATGATTTTTTCTATAGTATTCCAAAATTGCATGTTATGGATATTCCACAATTTACTTAACTAGTGATACATTTAGATTTTTTCCAGTTTTAAATGTTTTGTAAGTAACACTGTAATGGCTGTTCTCATTGTTATCGCTTATCTCATTTGCCTCATTAGTTCCTTTAGGAGGCAGGATTGCTGAATCAAAGGAATGTACGTTTTAGAAGTTTGCTGCAGCTGTCTGGCGACCTTCCTCAAGGTCACACTAATTACTCTCTCCAGCGCAGGCTGTGCTGTGCCGTTTCTCCGCCCCTTGGCAGCACTTAGGTCCACAAACCCATCTTCACTGGTCCTATTTTCACTGCCACTAGCCGATGGAGTTTAGAAAAGAGGTTTGAGAGCCCTTTAGAGAGAGCGTTCGGAAAAGAGGCTCCTCACAGGTTAAGGAGAAGAATGGAGCCCGCAGCCGTGGAAGGACGCTCCCACGGGGACCCACTGTGGCTGCTCCAAGGTCGAGGGGCCGACAGCGAGGGGAAATTGTGTTCTTGCAGTTTACAAAATGCCCTCACACACACAGTCTGTTTTCTCGAAAACTGCAGCTGGTATCATTATCATCACCATCACTGCTGCTGTTCCTGCTGCTGGAACAATACAAATGGAAAAAAATAAACACAGAGCGTTTACCAATTGCCTAACCTGAAATACAGATTTCAGAGTCAGGACTTAAATTTAGGTATTCTGATTCCTGCTTCAATACTTTGGCCAATTAAGTTGCCTTTTTTTCTTCCCTATTTTTTATTTGTTTGTTTCCTTGTGCCTTCCTTTGTCTATGACATATTAAGTTTAGGGTGAGTGAGTGTAAATGAGCCTGGAATATCTTCTTGTGCCAAGTAGCTAGGAAGCTATCAGAGACTACTAGTGTCATGTCAAAAAGTCCCAGGATGGAGTTGAAAGTTCCCATTGGCCAAAGAATCACATGAACATGTCTAAGTCTATGAATTCATGAAGATACTGAAAATGCTGACCACAACCTCATGGATCATCTTTGGAGAATGCTAGGAACAGATTTTTTATTTTGAAAACTGGTAAATAAAAGGAAAGAAATAAGTACGTATTCTGGCTTTCCAATATGTACTACTGGGTAACCAGAAAGTTGATGACGGGAAGCTTTTATTTACAGACTATTCCGGCTAATTAAGCAATGCCACCCTTGTGTGGGATCTACTCAAGAGCTTCAATGGCCGATTAACACACAAAAAGAAAGACATTATGTGTGAAAGTGCACACCTCCACCAGTGAAGTATTGTTGCCAAAAATGT